ATATTTTTATCAGAATATTCATTGCGTTTGCTTCGTTAGTTTCTTCGTAATCTTTTAGGTTTTTTTGTTTTTAGTTTTCAATAGACAAATTGAAAAATAGATTTGTTTTGTTGTATATAATTGGCACTTAACTCATTTAAAATACATCAAAATATAGTACATAAAAAACGTTGGTTTCTTCCACTTTTTCCTTTAGTTTAGTTTTTCTTTTTGTTTATAAATATATGCAAAAAGTTTATTTGGGATAAAAAGTATAAATAAATAAATCACGATCATTTGAAAATTGCCAAAATTTAAAATAAAAGAGAAAACAAATTCACAGACACACACACACATGTACACTCGCTGACAGACTTACACACACTCGCACACACACACACACATACATGCTGGAGCCATTGCACATTAATTAAATTGTTCAGTACGAATAGTTGCAACAGTTTTGCTCATTATCTTTACCGTTATTATCATAAACATTATCATTATAACTTGAAGTCTGGTGATTTTCGAAGGGAAATCGAGGATATCAAGGAGGAATGTTGAGTTATATATATATATATATATACTATATATAATAGACAGTTTTTATAAATCAACGACATCCTCTTTCGTATAGGGCGAGTCTCTAAACGTGCGTCTCGTCGAGGTGCGTTGCAGGCCTTCAACTAATGTCTCCTGTGGAATTGAAATTGGATGTGGATCTCGATTAAATATATATATATATGTACATCATACACAAACATATATACATGCCCTACAGCTAGACTAATACAAAACAAGCAATACTTAATAACAAATAAAACACAAAAACTATATTAAATGAATATGAGCACCAGGCAACAAATGGAAGAACATTTAAGAGCCACAAGAACAATGTAAAAGCCAGATGCTGCACCACACAGAGACAGACGCGTTGATGATGCTCATGCTGAGCTGATGTTGACATAGTTAATCCCATCAAACCTCGAATAGCGTCGATATCTCTTTGCCGGCAATTCTCTTAGTACTGCTCTCAGCGCAGCTGTTCGTCTTGTTCAGCTGCCCGTTGCGCATGCTCAGAATCTCATTGCTAATCAGATTCGCACAGGCAATGGCACGACTGTTGCTCGAACTTGAGCTTGAGATGATGTGCGCATTGCTGCTGCTGCTATTGCTACTGCTACTGCTGCTGCTGCTACTGCTGGTGTTTCCATGCTCAGTTATAATCGTTTTGCTGAGCGTCTCCTGCGTCTCGGTGTTGGTGCTACTCGTGCTGATGATCTTCGAGCGCGTCTGATTGTTTAATACTGTTGTCGTTGTTGTGGTCATCGTACTGTTGTTGCTGCCTATGCTGCTGGTGTTGCTAATGTTGCTGATGTTGCTCGAACGATTGGCTGTGTTCAACATAGTTCGTGGCATGATGGGCGGCTTGATGGGCAGATCTTTGTATATTGATTGTTGGTTTTTTGGTGGTTTGGATAATACAAGACAAGTTTAGGGAACAAGCACAAATCAAATAATATGAAAATAAATAAAGAAAACATAAAATCAAAATATATATCTCTATATATAGCTACGCATTCAGGTTGCACTCTAAGTGTGGCAGGCGGGCAGACATGCAACAGGATTTATGGCTACTCATGCTTACCCAAACGACTGAGGCCTGCGGCTAGCTCTCGCACTGACTTCTTCTCCAGAGCAGCGCCTGCCAAAGATGCACAGAATTCAAACTTGATTCAATCAAATTTTAAGTCAAGCTCAGCTCACCTGGCGTAATGCCTACAATGCTGCCACCGCCGCTGCCGCCCGATGCCAAAGCAATGCCCGGGGTTATGCCCACAATGGAGCCGCCTGCGCCCTGAACAAAGGGCAGCACCTCCACATCTGCAAAGGCAAGTACACAAATTAGGCTAATCTAATAAACTAAACCCCTAATCACGCACCTTCTTCCAGCGTATCCGGCGTTGTCTTGGTAGAGTCCACGCTGCCGTTGCCCGTGGCCAGCTGTTCGTTGGCCTTCGGCTCGGTGCCCACTACAGACCAGGGTCGCGGCTTCTGCAGCGCAATGGGCGTGCGCAAGATGCCATTGCCGGTGGCTGTCTTCACCAACAGACTGCCATCGGTGCCTACGGCCAGGGAGCTGGCACCTGCTGCATGGCTCTTGATCGAGTCGCTGCTGGGCGAGCGCATCTTCTCGTCGCGCGTGGCTGCCTTCAGTAGACCTCCAGTGGGTGCAGCTGCGATTGCTGCCTCCTCATTGCCTGCTCCGCCCTCTGTGCGCATTTTGACCAGCGGCGATTTGCGACCCACCAGCGGGGAATATTTCTCCAGATTGTCCGTGGAACGCGAACGTGTGGCCCAGGAGGCGCCTGTGAAGACAGAGAAAAGTAAGTAAATCTCTCTAACTTGATTCGCGACTCACTTACTCTTGAGCAAGGGCGACTGGCGCTCCAGTTTGATGGGCCTTCGTTCCTCCAGTATGGGCGTTGTCTCCTCTGAGGTCATGTGGCCGTTGCCATCACGACTCATCGTTGGGCTGTCCACGAATGACAGTGAGCTGCACTCCTCGGATGTGGGCGACACGAGAGGCGTTAGCGTTGTGGGCGTCACCGAGCCGGGCCGAAAGAAGTGCTCCAGGCCATCGCCAATGTCTCGCACTGCGCCGACAGCGCATTCCGCATTCACGAGCGGACGAGTTGGGGCACGCGTCTTGGCCCGCTTGGGCCGTCCCTTGACAAGATGCTGCAGCTGAAATGAGGCACTGGGCAGCTCCGTTATGGAGTCACAGCCCTCATCCACGTTGCCGTCATCCATGGCCGCATTGCTGATGCTGCTGGCCATCATGTTGACAGCCGAGGCGCCGCCACCGGCTGCTGCTCCACTGGCACCAATTGCACCACGCGATGTCAGCTGTGAGTTGGAACGATGCGACGAGGGCGACTCCAGCAGATCGGGAATGTGGCTCAAACTGAGATTCTCCACCACAGATTGGGGACGCACCTTGCGGGCGATTGAGCGACGTTTCGACGGCAAATGTGGCGTGGCCTGCGCAGAGACAAAGAACAGTTAGCAGTTGCATTTCTTCAGAGAATCAGTTATATAGATATATGTATATAATGTTAGGTTATGTTCGTGATATATGCATGTGTGTGAAATGATGAGAGCGGATGTGCGGGTTTTTTGTTTTACTTTTAGCAGGAAATTTAATTACTTAAAATTATACAAATAAAATTAACTACTTTTAAAACTAAAATATTGCTAATAGATACACACAGTGCTACAAAGACCAGGAAAAGGTGGACACAGAGAAAGTGTAGTGAGGAGGTATACGGTGATAGCTCTATATTAACGAACAAGCTGTTAAAAAAAAAATTATAAATAAAAACTAAATTATTCTCAGAGC